ATGAACGCACCTGCTTGCTATATGATATTACTTGTTTTATGAACGCACCTGCTTGCTATATGATATTACTTGTTTTATGAACGCACCTGTTTGCTATGTAATATTACTAGTCTTATAAACGCACCTGTTTGCTATGTAATATTACTAATCTTATGAACGTACCTGCTTGCTATATAATATTACTATCCTTTATTTAGTTTTAAATATCCTCACTATTACTTCTCTACTTTGAAACATCCAGTAATTTTTTTCACGAGATATAAAGAATAAACCCTCCCGCATAAATACGTGGATATCTTTGTTTTTCCTTTGGAGCGCATAATAAACATTCATAACCATCATTTAGCACCTTGGTAACAGTAGTTCAGTCTGTAATTTATTTAGTTAGTTTATGCTTCCGCTAAAAACGTTTCCTGGATAGCGAACGTGTCTGACTAAATGTAATTGGTCAGTTGCGGATTGGCAATCAACGTATTATACAATATATTGAACTGATTTTCTGTGTGTTGGTTTATATGTAAACTGTATTACTAATGGTATTAGGATGACAAATTCCCCGTTAGTAATAGTTCAGTCTTCACTGGACTCTACAAGTAAGCAACTATTACCAACATCCAATTTGAAACAAGATATTAGTAAGAAGGGAGTTCCTGGACTTTCAGAAAAGAAATGTTACTAGCTGTAGAATTGATTGCCCGATTAATATCTCTATTATGAGTAATGTGCTGAAGAAATGGAAAACTACTAGGTATTCTAAACGTGAACAATATATGTGGTACTCAAAATTAATCACCCCTTTAGCCTTGCAAACTTTAAAATGCGATTTTATATTTTTATTCTATTTGTTTGCAAAAAGAAGCAGAGTTTATTCCAAGAAATGTGAACCAACGTTTGAGTGTAACTAATTCAAGGTTCTAATTAATAACAAAGGTGGGTCCACTATTCATTAAAACAGACGAAGTAACGAAACATGGCAACGTTTTCTCAAGCACGTTGCCTTAATACTGTTGCTAATATTTTGCTCATGTCAAGTTGCTGGTATCCAAACTAATGTGTGCTGTAATATTCTTATGGTAAATTGTGTTTGTTGTATGGACTATTTAATGATAATGCTCATATTTTTTTTCATAAATGCAATTATATGTCTACAATAATTTAGAATAAATCCACATTGGGCTATATTTTGTATCTACCGCGGGGACTCGAGCCCTGAGTTTTAGCGTTGTAAGTCCGTAAACTTACCGCTTTCCCACAGTAGGACGATTCCAAA